TGACTGGGAAGGAATCCTAGAGCAGCCCCACCCAGAGCATTGTGGGACATGGCCCCGGCCGCACACGGGCAAGCGAGCATCGCAACACGGAGACTGGAACGGGGACAGGGTTTTGTAGCGTCTCCGCACACCCAGCCTAGGTGAACCTTGGCGCCCAGCCCCCATGCTGTTACCCAGATGAGCCACACAAGGAAGCATCTCCCGATGCAGTCCAGGTATGAATGGGAATAGAGAGCCAGGGCGTTACAAGGGTCCGGTCTCTGCAGTGCCAGTGGGGAGACGGGTCACAGAGCAGGAAGCTGGCCTGGGTCAGGCCAGAGTCACTAGCCGAGTTAGCAGAGATGGATCCGATGCTGTTACCGTCTGTGTTCTGTTTGTCCGCAGGTAGAAACGGGGAGAGGTCCCAGACGCCGTCTCCGCCCCGTTCCCCCGGCATGCACAACGACAGCTACAACATCGCGCCGCTCACACCCTCCCAGTCTCCCGTAAGCCAGAGAATGCTTTAATGCCCCCTTTCCCAGTCATCTTGGGTACCTCGGGGGGAGGGGAGCGGCTCTGTGAGTGAACAAGGAAAAGTTATGTACTTATTCCCACAATATAAGAATGAGGGATCACCAAATGAAATGAATAGGCAGCAGGTTTAAAACAAATAGAAGGATTTTTTTTCCACTCAGCACACAGTCAACCTGTGGAACTCCTTGCCAGAGGATGCTGTGAAGATCAGGACTTTAACAGGGTTCAAGAAAGACCTAGATAGGTCCATCAATGGCTACTAGCCAGGCTGGGTGGGAATGGTGTCCCCAGCCTCTGATTGTCTGGAAATGGATGACAAGGGAGGGGTCCCGTGAGGATTCCCTGTTGTGTTCCCTCCTTCTGGGGCTTTTGGCATTGGCCACTGTGGGCAGACAAGACACTGGGCTAGATGGACCTTTGGCCATTCTTATGTTCTTATGTCCTTGAGTGTGGCCAGGAACTGTCCTGTGCTCTGCTCCTTCTCGGACCATTTTCTGCTGCTCTCTGAGTCCTTGTTGAATTGGTCCAGCTCCCGAGCGTTAGGCACAGTCTGGCAGCCTCACTGCACACCGCAGGGTGATGAGGATGGGGACATCTGGTGCCAAACTCTTCCAAAGTTGGGGAGGGTTCAGTTTTAGGGGCTTTGGTTCAGGCTCTTCTCTGGTAATAAGCACAACAGAACCTCTAGTGGGTTCCCACAGGAGATGCAGAGAGTTAGGGAGGATAGACAAGTCCACTTTCTCTAGCCCTCTCCCCAATCCTTCTTTGCTTACCTTCTCATGGGAGCGTCTGGAACTCATTGCCACATGACAATCTACAGAAAGGGAAGATCAAGATACACAACTCCAGCTGTGTTAATTACGTAGCTGGAGTCAACCGTTCCTTGTTTTGAGTTTCTCCGCTATCCTCACAATGGGAAGCCAATGGGAACAAACACTCCTGTTGGTGTCCCTTGCTTCTCGCAGGAGCAGGAGTACCGGCTGCCAATGAAAGCACTCTCTGAGTTTGATTTAGAGGGTCTTGACTAGACTTGCTAAATCAAACTCCGGAAGATGGATCGCAGCAGCATCGCTCTTCCTGTTAGTACAGACATAGCCCTAGCAAAACCAAGAACTTAGCTAGCTATTGTCCAAGGGAGAGGGTTGGGCGTTCGTTTGGCTAACGAGAACATCCAGAGATAGCCTGGCGAGGAGTGCCAAGCCCAAGGGTTGTGACAGGACATACACCATAAACCAATCTGCAACAAACAGGACTGGGTGAGAAGCTCTCCCCGTGGGCAGGGCACCCCGTCACGGCAGGATCTTTCGCGCCGGGCTCGGATGCCGCAGGCACCGGCCACTGCTCAGGGCAGGCGCCGGATCAGGCGAGTCTTATGACGATCAGCTCCTAACACTTCTTGTGGGGTTGCAGCGGAGCGAAACCCGGGCCCAGCGCCCCGCCCCCTTCTCCGTGGTGGTGGCCATCGACTTCGGCACGACCTCCAGTGGCTATGCCTTCAGCTTCTCCAACGACCCCGAGGCCATCCACATGATGAGGTGAGCCGCCCCGTGGTGGCGGTGGTGGACAGTCGCGGTACTTTTCCCTCCATCCTTCCCTCCGACCCAGGGCTACACGTCCTCTCCCACCCCCTGGGCACACGAGAGAACCCGGGAGCAGGAGGGGGCCATGGGGAACATCACGCAAAGGGAGATGCGGCTGGACGAGGCTGGATCATTTCCCAAGGGCGGAGGCGCACGTCCGAGTGTGCTCAAGCCCTGGCTGGCCAGCGTCCTGCCAAGTAAGCACTACGGATCAGTAAGCACTACGGCCACGGAGGATGGTCCTTCCTGAGCCTTTTTCATCTCCACCGGGGACTTGCCTCTGGCCTCCTGCCTTTTCGATTGGCAGGAAGAGCCCAGCACTGTGCTCTGCTGGGCTGGGCTGGCGGGGTCCAGGGCTCTCCGTCTTTCCAGTCCCGTCGTCGGCCCTTCTCTGGCTCTCACTGTGGCCTCTGGGAGCCTCCCGGCTGCCCCATGAGACAGGGCAGTGCTGTCTCCCCAGCGTGTGGCCGCGGAACGGAGTCGCAGAGACTCGTCCCAGGTCTTGTAGGGAGCCCGTCTCCGGAGCCCAGGGCGCCCTAACCACTGGGCAATCCTGCTTCTGTCCGCTTCCTGCCCCCTGCCAGTGGCTCTGAGAGAGGGATCCTCATTGAAGAACAAGCCCCAATGGGCTGATCCCCAACAGCTGCTGATTTTAGGGAGTCCGACCCCCAGATCCGAGGAGCAGGGGGGCTGCGAGGTGAGCCATAGGGGCGATGCTGGGGTTCGGGGAGCAGCCACTTTGCGCGGGCTGAGCCTGAGCAGATGAGCCGTGGTCCCATGGCATCGATTTCCTCAGGACAGCGCCGTTCAGAGTCGGGCCTGGTTTGCAAACCGGGCTCTTGCCCCGCCCCCCGAGACGCCTCTGCCCGTGGGGTGTTAAATCTGCCGCGGTTCCTCTTTGCAGGAAATGGGAAGGGGGTGATCCAGGCGTGGCCAATCAGAAAACCCCCACCAGCCTCCTGCTGACCCCAGAGGGCGCCTTTCACAGTTTCGGCTACACAGCCCGGGATTATTACCACGACCTCGACCCAGACGAAGCCCGGGATTGGCTCTACTTTGAGAAGTTTAAGATGAAGATTCACAGCACGAGTGTGAGTTAACCCTTCCTGTGCTAGTTCCCCTGCACGCCGGGGAGGGGCCGGGGGCAGCGGAGGGGCGGGGCAGGGTGGGGTTTACAAATATCCCAGTGTTAAAGTGATAGTCGCACCGTCGAAATGGGCATGTTTCCCCCCGTACAATGTCTCTGAATGTTTCAAAATGAAATGGCACAAATTTGCTGCCATTTCTGGGGGGAGGGAGGGAGGAGAACTGTGGATTTGCAGAGTTGTTTAGCAGATGTTGTAACCAGTGTAGGATGGACAAGGAAGGGAAGGATGTGCAAAGGAACCCAGAGAGGCGACCAAGCTAAAGTCAGTTGGAAAACAAGGGTGAGGGATCTCAGCAAACTGAGTGACTGGGCAACAAAACGGCAAATGAAATTTAATGTGAATAAATATAAAGTCATGCACATTGGAAAAAATTACCCCAACTATACGTACAATATGATGGGGGCTAATTTAGCTGCAACTAATCAGGAGAGAGATCTTGGAGTCATCGTGGCTAGTTCTCTGAAGGGTGCAGCGGCGGTCAAACAAGCAAACAGGACGTTAAGAATCATTAAAAACGGGAGAGAGAATAAGACGGAGAACATCCTATTGCCCTTATATAAATCCGTGGTACAGCCACATCTGGAATACTGTGTACAGATGTGGGCTCCTCATCTCAAAGAAGATATACTGGCATTAGAAAAGGTTCAGAGAAGGGCAACTAAAATGAGGAGGGGTTTGGAACGGGTCCCGTATGAGGAGAGATTAAAGCGACTGGGACTTTTTAGCTTGGAAAAGAGGAGACTGAGGGGGGATGGGACAGAGGTCTGTAAAATCAGGAGTGGTGCGGAGAAAGTGAATAAGGAAAAGTTATTTCCTTGTTCCCATCATATATATAGTAGCCATCTATATATAGACGTATATGTAGTGTGACTCTAATGGTATAACGCTTGGTGTTGCCTCTGGGCGGCGCTGTTGCCTCTGGAACGTCCTTCGCCTCCCACCGTGGTTCTCGGCTGATTTCTGCGCCGCTCAGCCAGGCCGCCGCGGGGGAGCAAGAAGCGCAAGCGGCCGTTTGGGCCCCGCGCTCCCCATGCACCACGAGAAGTGCAGAGCCCAAACGGCCGTTTGAGCGCCGCGGTCCCCGAGTGAGAGGCAGGAGGGGGAGACGAGAAAGAGAGAGACGGAGAGAGAGGCAGGAGCGGGAGGAGAGCTGAGGGGGGGAGGCAATTGGAGGAGGGGAGAGAGAGAGAGAGACGGAGCCAGAGACCGGAGGCTCAGGAGAGCAGACTGATGTGGAGGAGAGACCTGAAAATCCCGTCTTATGACGGGCTAATTGGCTAGTAATATAAGAACTAGGGGCCATCAAATGAAACTAATGGGCATCAGGTTTAACACAAATAAAAGGAAGTTCTTCTAATCACAATGCAGAGTCAACCTGTGGAACTCCTTGCCTGAGGAGGTTGTGAAGGCTCGGACTATAACAGGGTTTAAAAGAGAACTAGATAAATTCATGGAGGTTAGGTCCATTAATGGCTATTAGCCAGGATGAGTAAGGAATGGTGTCCCTGGCTTCTGTGTGTCAGAGGGTGGAGATGGCTGGCAGGAGAGAGATGGCTTGATCAGTACCTGTTCGGTTCACTCCCTCTGGGGCACCGGGCATTGGCCACTGTGGGCAGACAGGACACTGGGCTGGATGGACCTTTGGTCTGACCCAGTTTGGCCGTTCTTATGTTATGTTATGAGAGTTTTCCAACTACTCTCTGGTCCGGCACCCTCAGGACCTGCCCGGTGCCGAACCAGAGAATTTGCCGGACCAGGGCAGGTCAATATTGTCTAACAGCAGCCCAGCACTGCCACTGCTCACTGGGCTCTGAGAAGACACGGAGGGGTCAATTCGAGCTAAATCCCAGCCCAGAACACTGAGCGCCAGGACTGGGGGCTGTAAACAAACTTTATGGGGCCGTGGGAAACTTGGCTGCACCCTGCTGAGCGGGCACCCGGCGAACTCAAATCCTGCCGGACCAGCGAGTGCCGGACTACACATGGCGTCAGGGAATTATTGTGCAGCAGCTCATGTGGCCTCTCCTATGGACGGAGCTCCACCTCCTCCCGGGTCCTGCCCCCACGCCCCAGCCTTTTCCTGGCCTCACTCCATCACAGTGGGAGCCCCGGTAGGTTGGCTGCCTTCCAGCCAAGGGGCAATGGGATGGCTTGACCTTCCACTCGCTCAGGCTTGGGCAGTGGCCTAGGAACTAGGGGTCACCAAATGAAATGAAGAGGTAGCAGGTTTCTAACAAACCAAAGGCCGTTTTTCTTCATGCAGGCCACAGTCAACCTGTGGAACTCCTCGCCAGAGGATGTGGTGAGGCTAGGACTTTAACAGGGTTAAAAAAAAAACTAGATAAATCCATGGAGGGTAGGTCCCTGGCCTCTGTTTGTCAGAGTTTAGGAATGGGTCACAGGGGAGGGATCACTGGACGATTCCCTGTTCTGTTCCCTCTCTCTGGCTAGATGGGCTTTTGGTCTGACCCCGTCTGGCCGCCGGTGCAGTTGCTGGATCGCCCAGGCCCTCGGTATCCCGGAACCTTTGAATTTGCTACAGCGCTCTCCAGAAAGACTTCCCTTCACTCAGTTACCTTTTTCAAAGGTGTTGCTGGAAATTCCCCCTCTGTCCCACCCGCCCCTGGGGAACAGGCTCCCTGCCAGCTGCTCCGGCCGGAGCGCGGGCCCTCCCCCCCTCGGGGCCTTGTCTTGCTTTGCTAGGACCTCACCATGCAAACGGAGCTAGAAGCCATGAATGGGAAGAAGGTGCAGGCGCTGGAGGTCTTCGCACACGCCCTTCGCTTCTTCCGGCAGCACGCCGTGCAGGTAGGGCGGGGGGGGGGGAGCCGGGCACCCCTGGGGAACGTCCCTGGTCGGTCGATGCCGGTGGGGGGAGAACTGTGGCAGAGCTGGCCTGGGCCTGGAAATCTCCCTCCTGTGACCCGGACGGAGCTCACCAAGACAGGCTCAGTCACAGCCCCGGCCTAGGACACCAGCTCCAACCTCCTGGGAGGAGGGACGCCGCGGTGGGACGAGAGAGCCCGAGAGAGGGGCTGCCTTGCCCTCTTCCATGAGAACTCAGTGTGGGTGAAAGGCCAGAGGACATGCAACAGAGGCAGTGGCGGGGGAGGGAGCCTGCATCCTGAGCCCTCAGCCCTCCCTGCAGTCCGGAGCCAGTAGGTCTCCTGTCTCCCAGAAATGCGCCTGTCCAGCGGCACCACGGCCTCCCGGGCGGGATCCTTCCTGACCCGCCCATAGGCCATTGGGGATGCCCTGAAGCATGTGGGTGAGGGATCAGGTTTTGCTTTCCCGCAGGAGCTGAAGGACCAGTGCCCATCCTTGCAGGAGAAACAGGCCATCCGCTGGGTGATCACAGTGCCCGCCATCTGGAAGCAGCCCGCCAAGCAGTTCATGAGGGAAGCGGCCTACAAGGTGAGGGTCTTGGCTCCCAGCGGAAAGGCCCCGCAGGACAGGAGCGCCGCGCCCGGCTTTGCAAAGCGGGTTCTGCCGCCTCCTCCCTCGCATTGTCCTGGGGCGCAGATTCACCTCTGCCCCTGCCTTGAATTCTCCTGCTATTGATTCCCGGCTTCCCAGGGCCGAGGTGCCTGGCGCGAGCTCTCCGCTGAGCCAGGTGGGGCTTTGCCCCTCCCCACAGCGGCGGATAAGAGTCTACTACAGCTGCCAGTTCATGGAGTCTCTCCTTTCTCCCAGGAAGCTGAGGCTGTGGGCTTGTAACGCAGGAGATTCCAGGGTCAAACCCTTCTCACGGCCCAGGGGGGGAGGGGGCAGGTTGGCAAAGTCGCCCCTGGACTGGGACTTGGCCGGTTCCCGGAGACTGGGGATGAGCTGAGTCTGGCCCCCCCGCCGCTCCCGGCCATCGATCCCCCACCGAGAACCAACGGATCAGGCTGCTCGGCCCTGCTGGCTCGGTGACGTAGCATCGGGGGGGAGGGCAAAAGGGAGTCATGGGATAGGACGGATGGTGGGGGTAAGCCCCAGTCCTGCTCCCTGGCTGGAGTGTCGGGGCAGAGCGGGGTAGGCTTTGGTGCCCCAACCCTGCTCCCCATCTGGAGCTTTGGTGTGGAGCTGAATAAGCCTCGGTGCCCTGGCCCCTTTCCCTGACTACCTCCTCAGGTGGAGTGGAGTAAGACCTCATGCTCCAATCCCACTTCCTGGCTGGAGCACTGGGTGAGCTAGCAGACATGGATACAATATGGGAGGCAATGGCTCACTCAGGTCCACCCAGGG